TCTACTTCTTTCTTCCCCGCTACTAATCCTTCCTTGAATGCCGTCCCCCTCTCTGTGTTTTCTTGCAAATCCATGGTCATCCCTCAAGTAGCAAGCTATGTGAGTGTCTCTGTTATGTTTGATCTGGGTTTGGAGGACAAGGCCGCTTTTTTGTTGGAATCGTTGAAATGGCATTCCTCCCCTACGGCTCAATTCAATTGGAGCTCCATAGCTTTCCAGTGTCTTGGGATTGCCGGTCGAGCATTAGCAAAGTTTCAGTTTGTGTCTTAGGCTGGGTGAGTTTTACTCTTTCTTTCAAGAGAAAATTTTGGTTCCAAGAATAAGATAAGAGACACGCAGAGGACTGGTCCATTGCTTACAAGGATTCACATTTTGCACAGGCTTGCAAGCTGAGCTCGCCCCAACAGTTTCTAGGCTTAAAAATTCAATACTCTCATTTCATAAACTTCGAAACATATCTCCATGACTACCTTCAATGCTCTCAAAATTAGTACTTAACTGGTATTTGTCCTGTCACCCACCCAACTTGTACTAGTAAATATACGGCCTCACCGGAACAGAGGAAATGAAATGAGACTTCATTACGTCACTTCTTTATATTGGAGTTCTAAGATGGTTGTTGCAGTGGGTTTCGTTCCATTACAGAGTTCATGCTTGTTTGCAGGAGGACTACAAACTTGATATCGTACATATTTACAGAGTTCATGCTTGTTTGCAGGAGTTTACTCGAACTTGGGTGTTCTTTTTCATAAGAAAAACTGGAGTGTTCTGTTATCCTCTGTTAATGTTTTCTGTGAACAACACCATATTTGTTCAAAAATGGAACTGGAATATCGGACATGTTTTCTTTGTGTATGTGCTTTTGCGTGGGTATGTGTAACGAAACCATATGATTTTCATTTACCTGCAGTTTTCCTCCAGTGATAATATTTTATTAGAATTGTTAAAAGTTAAGTTTTATGTGTCAACATGTGACATGTCTTGACTGCTGTACCTGTGCTGGTGTGTGGCGACGATTTATATTTTTCACATCAAGTTCATGCCATCGAGACTATGAACTGAATAGGTCCTTATTTCTTGACTACTCTGCAGAATTTCTTGGGCCGGAACTCAATTGTGTTTTGTTGACATCATCTAACGAGTGTATTATGGTCTCACTTTATTTCAGGTACATGGGTTTTGCGTTGGAGCTGCAGGTTGTGTGGAGTTTGTGCCTTGCTTGTAAGGATATCTTTGCTCTCAGGAATAAAAAGGATCTTCACACCCCACATGATCTATTGTTCTTTGTTGTCATTGACTGGGTAAGTCGTTCACTTTGTCTCCCCTATCTTCGATGCAGCTTCCTCTGAATTAACTAAAGGCAAGCACTGGAGCAATTGAACCCAGATTTTTTATCATTAGTTCTTATGATAAAAAATTCAGGATAAATGCAACTCATAATTCTCTATTGGCTAAGTTCTTGTTCTGCCTCCCTCTAAGAGAATAAGGTCGGCTAAATGTTGGCACAGGCGCTCCATCGAACTTAGCCGACTTTGAGCAAGAAATTTTAACAACCAATATGTTTTGCGTGACTTTTTGGTTAACCCACGGTAGAGTTTATCAAAGCTTATTTTTTCTGTTAGAACAGTGCAAATACCCTGTGAAATCATTATTTTTAATCGACCAGTTATTGGCATCTTCAGCTAGCAAAGGCCTATCTGAGTGACCACATCAATTGTGAATGCATTGCAGGCCTTGGCGACTCTCATGTTCTCAGGAGCCTGTGCCTCCGCGAGCCTCACAATTTTCTTCATGTGGGATGTGAACCTCTGCGGGGCATACTCACGTCTGGCCTGCCGGCAGTTCGCGCTTTCGGTCACCCTGGCGTTCATGACGTGGGTGTTGCAAGCTGCATCATCTTTCTCTGGGTTGTGGCTACTGGTTTCATTCTTCTAGTGATCTCACGTGCTCATCATTGGTGTGGCATTATGCTAATTGTCAGTCAGGAGGGTAAATCGGTCGCAATGCGATCAGGACACTTGCTAGATTTCAGTTATGGGCGTGCTTCCTTCACCACTTGTTAGATAGATGGATTGTCTGTTTGATAGTAGCTCATCTTTATACTAGGAGTTGGTTATGAAGGCCTTGAGGTGGAGCAGTTACTGTTTAGATTATGTGGGATCATTAATATGAAGAGTTATATATGGAGATAAGTGGCCATCGAAGGTACTTGAAATCTGGTTATTTTATAATGGAATTTTATCTCTTAGTGTGGCTTTGCATCCATAGCTAATTTGCACGCGCTTCGCGCAGTAAACAAGTCATCCTTTTATTGCCTAGCAATGTAGGTATGTTGTCTTTCTCATCATAGTTAGGAAGTTCTCTGAATACTAAGGATATCTTCTGCGTCTTGAGGCATGAAAAATTGGAGCTCTTTTACGGTACCCTGGTACTCCCATGGCATTAACCGGAGTACCAAACAGATCTAGCCGTCCATGATGAAGGGTAAGTTAGACCTTTTACGATAGAGGCCCGATCATTCAGTTTCATAGAAAAAAGTTGTCGATCGATCCTACATCCCAGCCGTGAGGCTAGTAGGTGCCGCCGCCGCCAGCCAGATTGAAAATTTCTCTTCAGTCCAGCAGAATTGTTGTCGTCGCCGGTGGCAATCGCACCGTCGGCTGCACGCTCGGCTCTTGCCCTCGATGTCTCCGTTGATTCTCCGCTGGTGCATCGTCTGGTGAAAAGCCTGGGACAGTGTATCCATCCGCTGCATTCCTCCAGCTCGAGGATGCACTACTGGGCTTCACAAATCCATCCATTATGTTCAGGGATTAGAACGTGCGAGTTTCCGACCTGATTGTGGAGGACACAAGCACGGCGACGGTAGCAGGCGAAGCAGATCGCAGTGGCGGCGGCGTTCGTGGACGGAAACGAGTGCAGCGCGGCATTTGTACGAACCAGATGTTACAGGGGGGAATATCAAAATACCCTCAAGATAAATAACCATAAAATGATTTTGATGCGATTACTGTTTCGCCCCTTAGATTAGGGTACTCCGTGACTCATCGACTCAGTATTCCGTGGAACAAAAGATGGAGTACCGGAGCATACTGGCCATTGGATTGCCAGAAATAGACGGCTTATATTAATTCATGGGCACTGTAAAAGAGCTCAAAATTGTTTGACCTTGTCCTCCTTTCAAGTATGGGTGTCATGGTCTATTAAGTAGGCCACCCATCGAATACGAGATTTTGTCGGGTTTTTGTTAATTTTCAGATTTCTACTCGGGGTCCAGTTGTCCCTCCATAAACAAACATTGCGGACAGGCTGTCACAAATACGCCATAAACACCCTTTCTTGAGAAACTCCAAACCATGCATGATGCCGAGATGCATTTCAAATAAATGTTATGCCTAGCAGATCAACCCCAGTGTAATGTTTAGCCTTTTTAATCCTCGCACGTGTTGTGTCTAGCAGATCAACCCTGGTGTAATATGTAGCCTTCATAACCCTCGCATATAGACTGTCGGGGAATGCTATGGGTCGCCAAGCTTGCCTAGCGAGGAGAGCTTGATTAAAATTTTTGAGGCCCTAAAGAATTAAGCTGGTCTTTGTTGGACCTTTCATGCTATTAGTGTTTGATTCATTGCTACCCTAATCGTTTCTCAAGAAAGGCTGTTTGATTCATTGGACCTTTCATGCCAACAAAGGTGTTGGCGTGGTTGCCACTGCCCCTTGTGTTCATCGACTAGAATTAAGGCTAATATATAATAGCCTCCTCCTGTGAAACCCTAGATGTTACATCAGATCCAACGAGGAGCAAGCAGGGCATCTCAGATTCCAATGTCATCGGGACTCCCTCACCTCCGATGGTTGCTCCAGCGGTGGCGGGAGGGAGGAGAAACCGAGAAAGCTGTTTCATTGTGAGTTCAGTGGTCTAGGAGGCTTTGTTAGTCCATGGCTTCATCTCGGGTGGTGGTGTTGGTGGGTGGCAAATAAGTTTTCTAACGATCTCTCATCAAAGAAGCGGCTCTCTTGGTTAATGGAGCTTGATTTGGGAGGCAGTGTCTACACCGCCTCGGATCCTACGAATCTAGGTGGTCGTTTCACATGTCTTCATGTTGGTGTCTCGGCAATAGTATTCTTCTTCAGCTACTCTCTCTCGAACAAAATGATAGTCAACTTCTATATGTTTAGTTCTTGCGTGAAACACTGGATTTGCTGACAAATATGTGGCACCAATGTTGTCACACCAAAGACGAGCAACTGGCGAATGAGCAACTCCAAGTTCACGCAGAAGAGTTTGGACCCAAATAATCTCATCAGTTGCATTGGCTAATGATTTATACTCTGCCTCAGTACTTGACCTTGAAACAGTAGCTTGCTTACGTGCACTTCAAGAAATCAGGTTGGGACCAAAGAACACACAGAAACCTCCTGTTGATCTCCTGTCATCAGGACATCCTGCCCAATCAGCATCTGAGAAGGCACTAACAATGTTGCAAGCTGACTTAGTGAATTTTAGGCATGTACTCATAGTACCTTTGAGATATCTCAAAATCCTTTTAACTGCTGTCATGTGTTGAGAGGTAGGAGAATGCAAATACTGACAAACTTTGTTCACCGGGAAACAAATATCCGGTCTTGTCAATGTCAAATATTGCAAAGCACCTACCATACTTCTATACCTTGTTGATTCTTCGGCCCCCAAAGGTTCTCCTTGTTCCTTTGACATCTTTTCAGAAGTTGAGAGAGGCATGTTTGAAATCTTGCAGTTTGTCATACCTGCACGTTTCAATATATCCATGACATATTTTTCTTGGGTCAGAAGGATGCCATCTTTTACCCTCTTAACTTCAATTCCCAAGAAATAATGTAGATCTCCTAGATCCTTCAAGGCAAAATCTCTTCTCAAATCTGCCAACAAAGCTACAGTTGCATCTTGTGATGAGCTAGCAACAATTATATCATCAACATAGACTAACATAAACATAATAGTATTTCCTCTTCTAAAAAAGAACAGAGAGGTATCCCCTCTTGATGGTTTAAAACCAAGTGCTTGAAGTTTGTCACACAACCTGGAGTACCATGCCCGAGGTGCCTATTTTAGACCATACAACGCTTTGTCAAGTTTGCAGAGATGATTTTCCTTGCCTCTAATTTCATAGCCAGGTGGTTGTCTCATATAGACTTCTTCCTCTAGAACGCCATGGAGGAACGCATTCTGAACATCCAATTGCCTGAGGCTCCAGTTATTGGATACTGCAACAGAAAGAACAAGTCTGATAGTAGCTGCTTTAACAATAGGACTAAAGGTATCTTCATAATCTATACCGTATCTCTGTTTGAAACCTTTTGCTACTAGCCTTGCCTTGTATCTGCCAATTTGACCATCTGCCTTTCTTTTAATCCTATAGACCCACCTACAATCAATGGTATTTTTTTATTGGTGGGACTAAGTGCCAGGTCTTATTTTTAATAAGAGCATCATACTCATCATTCATGGCCCTGTTCCAATTTGTATCATTCAAAGCTTCTTGCAAGTTATGAGGTTCACCAGTAGTCGTCGGACCACCAAAACGAGGTTTGAGCTTGTCATACCTAATTGTGCCATCTGTACGAATTTGAGGTTTTAAAATGCCATGTTGTGACCGTGTTCGCCGGGTTGGCACATCAGGAGCTGCAGGTGCATGCGGCACAGAAAATCCGCCGGAGGAGGGAGGATCCGCACGCAATCCCATGTCAGCGCGCGATCCTGTAGCGGATCTGTCGCCAGCAACAAAGGATATCTCATCCTGTCGGGGCAGATCGACGTGGGAGCCTGTGCGCACGTCTCCCTCGCTTGGTTGGCCCAGCTGGCGGCCAGCGAGAGGGGAACCGATTGGCCCACCTGACGATGCGCTGTCGGGAGATTCAGTGGGCAGCCCAGCGCGCGCCACGCGTCATTCCCGCGGCGGCGTCTGCGCAATCTAGAAAGATTCGCCCCCTGGTCCACCTGTGTCGCCTACGCCTGCTGACGCTGCAGGCTCGGGATCGCCGCCCGCAGCACCAGAATCCTCCTCGTGTTCTGCAACAGTTTCGTCTTGTTCTGGCTGCATAAAATCATACACAAAAACTGGATTTTCTCCACTGTTAGCAACAGGATTAGGGCAAAAATTAGCCTGTTGATCAACTACAGGTTCGTCCCCATGATCAAAAGGTGTAGACTCAGGAAGTAAAAGGACTTCTGATCGGAGAGGGGTGCCTGCATTAGGATTTAGATTTGCAAAGGGAAAAACTGTCTCATCGGAAATAACATCACGGGATATGTATACTCGTCCAGCAGCAACATCTAGACATTTAAAACCTTTGTGAAGATTGTTGTAGCCAAGAAACACGCACTGTTTGGAACAAAATTCTAACTTTTTGGAATTATAAGGGCGAAGATTCGGCCAACATGCACATCCAAAGACCCGAAGAGAATGATAATTGGGTTGTTCTTGAAACAAATGTGTAAGAGGAGTTTCAAAATTAATCACTTTGCTAGGGGTGCGATTTATCAGATATGTACCAGAGAGGAAAGCCTCATCCCAAAACTTCAAGGGCATGGAGGCATGGGCTAAGAGAGAGAGAGAGCCCTACATCAACAATATGTCGATGTTTTCTTTCTGCCGATCCGCTTTGCTGATGAGCATGGGGACATGAGACATGGTGAGTGACTCCTAATTGATGAAAAAAGGAATTTAGACGTTCATACTCGCCACCCCAGTCTGTTTGCATAGTGATTATTTTCTTATTGAACAACCTTTCAACAAGGGTTTGAAATTCATGAAAGACTTTAAACACTTCGGATCGGTGCTTAAGGAGATATATCCACGTGAATTTGTTGTAATCATCAATGAAAGACACATAATAGTTTTTCTTATTGATAGAATCACGGGCAGGCCCCCATACATCGGAGAAAAATTGCTCTA